TGTGTGTGTGTGTGTGTGTGTGTGTGTGTGTGTGTGCGCACCATCTGTCTCCCTGATTTTGACCTTTCTCAGCGTCACACCTGTGACATGGCAGCCAGGCCCCTCGACTCTGTGACAAACTGGGGGGATGCACTAAGTCGCCGCAGATCACCTCGATATTTTGAAATGAGAGTTGAGCAGCGGCGGTCGAGCAGCGAGGAGAAACTTTGTGTTGCCATCAGCACAGGTGAACTAAAGTAAATAAAACTGCACTTTCTGTGTTACACTGAATATTCATAAGACCCAAAATAAGAAATCATCAGCGATAAAAAAATTTATGGGTTGACGGTAATTACTTTTTAAACATCTTGTCATGTTGATGACAACAAATTAATTATACCTTTGCTTTATAGAGCGTCTTTTTGTCCAGAAGTCTTTCTTTAAAACCTATTTTGTCAGGTGGAAATTATGTATAAACCAACTTTTAAACCAAGACAACTTTTAATAGCTTGATTCATACATTTAAAATTAAAAATTTAAAAAAGGGGCAGCATGTAAAATTCAGTGAATCCAAATAATTAATATAGAGGGAAGCTTCAACGGAAGTTAACGACAGTCACATGTGTATTTACTATGAATAAAACCTTCATTCATGAACAAATCCTACCACTAATGTTTCTTATTTTAATTATAATATTATTATGTATAAAATGCATTGAATTTAAGATATAGGTTGTTATAATTGCTATGAACAAATTTAATTTTGGTTTGTGGACAAGATTACACAAAAACAAACAAATGGATTTCCATGAAACTTGGTGGAAGGATGTGGTATGGGTCAGTGAGGAACCCATTCAATTTTGGTGTATATCCAGATCAGGGGGCAGATTCAGGAATCTTTTTCATTTTCTTCAACATTGCAGTATAGGGTGGGTTCCAATATTATCACAATTTTTCCAGAGAATAATTCATGGATCTAGATGAAAAAAATTAAGGGGACTGATATCTATGAGTGAGTGAAATTTGGTGCCGCTTGATTAAATTCAAGGGGACTGTTGGGGTTGGTGAAGGTATCTGCTGTTCTAGTTCTGAAATAAATGGCTCTCAGCAGTTTAACCAGAGTGGAACCTTTCATATCTGTGGCATCAGCACTATCCTGATAAGTGACATTTTTAAGAGTCATCCTTAATTCACATATTTAATTAAAATAAATCGCGGTGCCATGATAAACTACTTCACCTGGTGGCAGCTCCTCTTTGCTTTGAACTCCACCTCTTATGACGGCAGCCCCGGGTTTGCCTGCCGTGATTTCAGCAGGTTAATCACAACTGACAATGCCTTTATCTCCCTCCCTCCCTGCCCTGATAACAGGCGGTGAATACATGTTTATCACCAATCTCAGCACTATAAGCCTGTTACAAACCTGTGCAGCCACACTCCGCTTTTCATAGCCGCTGTAAAACCATAAACTGCTGCTGCTCTCCTTCCAGGTGAGGAGTCACTGCCTCCACCAGAATAGAAACCACGTTCTCCGTCGTCAGTGCCTGGCACTTGCACAATACCGCTGCCAGATGACTGACCACAGTGTCCAAGTTTAACTTCATTCACATGTTCAGATGGCAGCTGTGTCCGCTCATCTGCACCCTGCAGCTGTATGAACTGCTTCCAATCTCATTCAGCAGCATCCAAATGAAGATTTTGCTAAATGATCATTTACAACTTTTCCCTCTGCGCCGTGTTTCATGTAGCAGCACAAGCTCCTCTTACCTGGGTTCACTCATTATCTGCCTGTTACACAGTTCATTATTAAGACTCATCAGGGTTTTGCTTATATAATACCAATATGCATGCAAATATACAGCGTCAAGATCTTTAATTTTACTGCACATTAAATAATTTTGGATAGATGATTTCCAGGTGTTTCCCATACTGCATATATTTCCATAAATTTCACCTCCCGCCTTTGTTTACTGTGAATGGCAGCTAAAATTTTACGCTCTAACTAATTAACATGAGCTCAAAATTAGACCAGAAGAATTTTAGTATGTGAAGATGCTTCTCTTTGTTGTAAAAAAAAAAAAAAAAGGTTCCAGTCTGTTACATCACTGATTGTAATAATGTGAACATGAGCTGCAATCCTCAGATGAGACATCCTGAATTCATTACATTTGCTCAATGCAGACAGAAGACAAGAGCAGACACTATGAAAACAGATTGTGCCAGTGTGGATCAGGCAGATTTAAGTGCGGGAGACAAAATGCATAACACGCTGAATGATACACATCCGATCGGCTCATCGCAGAGAAACTGTGTTTGCAGGGGTGAAAGTGATAGCGGGTGGAGCAAGTCATTCTGGGTCACCAGGTAGGAGCTAACCTGGATGAGAATCTGGATTGAAGAAACTGGACCCGCTTCCTTAGTCCTGCTAGAAAGGCCAGAAAGTTTCTGCAGGTTTCAACAAAACTTTTTAAGACCATAATGAATGAAGTTTAAGATCTAGGTCGAGACTGATATGAGGAATTATTTACACTTCCACATAATTGAAGATAAGGTGAGAGAGCAGAGTAGAGAATAACCCTCAAAACGTTATCTCACAAACTACAGGCAGAGACAGTATCCATAGATTTCCCTACAACCAAACTGAGGATAAATTCTGACAGAGGATTGAAGATAATCAGTGATCTGTTCCATTGTGGTCTTGTTTGTAGTTTTATCACAGTAAGCAATTACATACAGCACATTACACAGACAGAATTAGCGTTAAATGATTTTAACATTTAAGGCTTGGTCTTTTGTTTCTGGACTGTAATTAACACGACCAATTCATTTCGGACTGAATAAAATCGTTTAAAATGTGAATAAATTTGCTGATGTTTTTTCGCTAACTGACCTGCCTGCCTGTGTGCACCCTGCCCGTTCTCTCACTGTGCATGACTGGAGCCTTCAGCACGAGAGAGATTCACCGCTGAAGCAGAGACGATAACCAGAATTTAGCGAGCGAGTCACGCTGACTCAGCTTCTATCAGTTGTCAGTCAGTGCACGTTCATGTGTTTTGGTGGCGTAGCTTTGATGGGAGGGGGTGGGATGTACTGGTTGCATATTTTCAAAGTGTTGCTTGCTCTTGCTAGCTTTTCTAGGACTACTGACCGAAGCTTTAAGACTTTTTAAGTCTTAAAATTGAGATTATTACATTTCAGACTTTTCTTTACTAGACCCTCGCCAACCATAAAAAGGGAGAGTTGATCGCTGAACACTGGTCAAGTGCTGAAATGCGAAAAAAAAGAAGATTCTGTGTTCATGCAGGTAAAGTCTGAAACAACCTTTTTAAAGAGCAGCTGTATGAATGGCAAGGTTGACCTGTCTGTTGTTTTGTTGGGGCCACCCACTGGTTTGTTGCAGACTACTTAATACACACAGTTATTACCCGCATGCTGTCATTAGCAGTCATCTCAAAGCACAGCTGTGCCCGGTTCAGAGTGAAAGCAATAAAATTGTACCTTTCATCATATTATAGTCGGGAAACTACCCTCCTACTCTGCATCAAAATGTTCCGCACGGCTTCAGTGTCGTCGTACTCCAGTCCCAACATTTATGACTCATGACACAACTCACTCGACTATACATGAGTCAGTCTTGGTTTTGACAAGTTGTGATGCAACTCAGACAGAACGATAGTGACTTGGATTTTAATGCTGCACACTCTGGAGCTGTTTTTTTTCCCTTTGTCTGTGATGCTTATAAATATATATATATATATATATATACATCTAATTTTCTCAGGCTATACTGAGGATCAAATTGTCTTTCTGTCATATCAGAACATCCTCCGCGCTGTTGTTGCTCACACACAGAAGCAGACTACAGCCTAGCGGGAGAATGGA